GTACACTTAGGCGCCTTTGTGGTCGGCGGCCCACAACCGGTGTTTTATTGATTGTACGGCGTGGTTACGTTGCGAGAGAGTCCAGCCACCGCAGTTCCGCAAGCTGGAAAAGCCGAAATGTGGTGTTAAAAGGGAACTTGGTGAAATATTGAGACGCTCTGTTTCCACGTTACGTATCGTTTGTAGATGCGTTGACCTCAATACGCAATCCTCGACACAGATTTGGCACAACTGTTTTAACTAATCAGTGGTTTAAACTACCGTTATATTTCCAAGAAGAATGCGATATCAAAAACAAATTAAACGACGTGACTGTTGGCTCTTAACCAGAACAGAAAGGACGCAAACTTTCTGATAGATCGTGGGATGAAGTTGCTTGAACTTTTTGTACTCGTTCTAATGACTGTAAGCATTATAATTTAATAGTAAAAACTGAAATTCCTGATTGACATTGGTGAACTATAACAATACAACATATAATTCTTAAATGCATAAGAATAGAGACAAAAATAAAAAAATTTTTACAACTCTGTATCAGATAAAAATGACTTTAAAAATCATATTTGACTGCGCGTCAAAAATTATTTTAAAAGTCTATTTTAAATGACGCCACGTCACTTAAGCATTCATGTACGCAAACGAAAATTAAAATCGGATAAAAGGTAATGGAGAATTTCTTTGCAGAAAGAGAAACCTTATAACAGGGTACAGCCCAGAAGTCGAAGATAATTTATCAAGCATTACGAAAGTCTCCTAATGGCCCCATAACGAGACTTTTTTGACAACAGAAGGTTGTTTGCAGAGAGTCTTCTGACAGCGACACTATCTTAAACGATTTTAGAACTGTGAAAAACAACGTGACGTCATGTAAAGACAGAATTTGGCCATTCGTGATTAAACAGCTAGAAGTTAGAAGTTCCGAGTTCTAAAAATGATAAAATAATAGCAAGAGAAGAGAAACTGTTTTGCTTCAAATGAAGTGCGTGCACTGTAAGTTTACTTCTGAGGAATGGTCGTTGATTGATCCTGTTATAATTATATTTTTAGTTGTGTAGAATGCCCTGGTGGTTCAAGAACTCAGATGCATTTTAAAAATAATAGACATTTTATTAGAGGCTCTTTAGGAGCTATAACACTAGCACTCACTAATTTAAGTTAACATTATGAAGATGTGCAGTATAACAATCAAACGACAGCCAATAAAATCCAGTAAGTGCTTACAAAACAGCTGAATTCTTACTCCACCAGTCATTCTATCCACCTACTCTCAAATGTTTTCATCATTCATTACCCTTAATACGATCTTTGACTATTAGAATGTATAATTGCAGTAATATGAGCTCCGATGTCCATTCATTAAAGAAGTTAGCATTCATTATTGTTGAATGATCTAATGAAACACATTAAGTTACTGCTCATTGTTTGTAAAAGGACATAAGCTGAACATGATAATGAAAACAAAAAGTTGTTTCACAATAACCACTATACGCAGTATTAAATATTCGTCGTTATAAAAATAGTAGTTTATATTTTCTAGTATCGTAGTTTATAGTTCAAGGCTCAAATTAAGATTGTTTTTGGACCAGGTGCTTAGAGGGCAGTGGGAGGGGAATGGTCAAAGGAAGGAAAGATTGCGCGCAGTCCGTGGTTCGTATGTTAAGGTACTAATCCGGCATTAGCCTGGTATTAATTAGGGAAATCACGGAGATCGGGGATCGGAGCAGTCGGCCGTTAAGAATCGCCTCGAGAGCGCGCCAGAATTCGAACTAGTTATTGTATCTCGTCGGGACTCTAACCCTTGGACCACCCCGCCAAAGACACTGCAATGGCCACAGTTGTTTTCTTGAGCGATTGTGGCCGGTCCTGCAGCTCTTATGAGAACATATGATCAGAACTTTCTTTTACATTTTCTTGCTGCAAAAGAAACGGTGTCAGAAAATTGTCATGGATCTCGGTAAATAACAGGAAAACACACTTTGAAAATGTGATGCAAGAGAGAATAATGTTTAAATGGAAAATGTATTCCCAACTCAAGCAATCAAATGTGGAAGTATCAGTGGTAAGTAAATCTCATAAAAGGAGATCTTCAAATTTTCGATATTTCATGAAATGTGTAGAGAGGAAAAACTATAGTAAAAGTAATAATTTGATTCGATTACAATAATTTTATTTGATTTGGTGAGATCATTGCCAAAACTAATTCAAGGAGATCATTATGTGTATTTATGTATGAAACTTTCTGGAAGAATTATCTAATTTAATGTTGGACTCTTAAAAGCAGATAGGTACAATATTTAGAAGTACGTGGACGAAATGGCAATGCCCCTTTCTTCAGAGAGGGTATTCGATGTTACTGATGCGCATTTGAAACAGTTTATACTACAGGAGGGAAGTGGACACTCCCCCACTGTTTAGAACAAACCTGTACTTCTACACAATACACCTGATGATTTTTTAAATAGTAAATTGCTCATTCCTGAGGTATACAATGCATTATTCCTTTCCTTATAATTAAGTAATGCCGGGCTCACAAAACTGAAGAAATTGAGAATTCTTCCAAGTAAAGGAAAACATAGATTTATTTTCATTAATTTTTCATGGCCATATTTATTTTATTACTTTTTCGTGTACAATGAAGTAAAAAATTTACATATTCAAATGTTCCTGACGACACCTTCGCATAACATTTACATCACAGTGTAACTGATGTGTTAAATGATTATTGACAACGACAGAATGTTGAGGTGCTTCAAGATTTAGTTCGTAGCATATTGTAGTAAAAATTAAAAAAATACAATTTGAAAAATAAAAATACAATCAGTACGTGCTCTTATGTTGTTACATGTTATTTTTAAATATGCAACGAAATGTAGATTTCTTTTTCAGAACTAATTTGTTTTTGAAGAAAGTGTTTATCTTAAGAAGACATCGTTATCATGCGCTTACAGTTGCTGTTGATGTATGATATTGTTTCGAGGAGGCACATTCCGCTAGTATTATTCATTTTCTGGTGCAAGATTTTTCTGGGCATCTTCTGTATGTTATTTGGTTCTCTACTTATGCGATGCCAATAATAACCGTTGACAGGTTCTATGAACCAGTGCCACAATTGGAATCACTGTTATCGTAAGGTTTTCGGCTGCACACAAACTGAATCTCGGAAGCGCCAGAGGAAGAAAGCAGAAATGAGTGGAAGATTGAGAGAGAGACTTGTACACTGCTTTACGAGTATGGCTGGGCGTGTATGTTTGTCCATACAAAAGCTTGAGTGCCCCGGGCGCGCGGCGCCGGGGCGTGGGGCTGCCTGCGGGAGGGAGGTTCAGCCTTGGTTGGGGCACTTGAGCGAGTTGCAGCAGCGCGGGTAGTTGGCTCGCCGGTTGCCTTCCTCGATGGTGCAGCCTGCCTTGGGGCGCACCGTTTCACATCTGCAAAAAAAAAAAAAAAAAAAAAAAAAAAAAAAAAAAAAAAAAAAACGCACAGAGACGTCAGAACGCGCGATTCGATTGTTTGCACACCGCTAGCTCATCTCCATGTCGAGAAAAGCGCAATATCAGTAAAGGCTCTCGGCCGTCCGGGTGGTGCTCCAGCTCTGAGGAAGACCACGATAGGACGGTCGAAACATCGGCATCGCTGCCTTCAACGCGGCGCTACCCGAGCAGCCAAGAGCCTTTACACGACTCTGGCCGCGAAAGCCTGCGATTGCAATATTAACAGTGATCTTTTACTTACATTAATAATTGATGTAAAGGAATACATTCGTTTTTAAATGACACAAGTAATGTAAAACGTAAAAATAAGTATTATGATTTAATGTAAGGACACTGATAAAACAATTGTAAATGAAATTCTGAGCATTCGTAAGCTCTGTAACAATGTTACTCCAAAAAGCAAAAAGGCACAAGCGCACTGGAAAACGTCAAGAATCTCCACGCTACATTAACATAATTCATCTAAAATAGACATATGCATATGAGGGCGAGAAATTAGAACACCGTCATTGACATGTATATATTTGAAAAGAAAAAAAGCAAGATCTATTTCAACCGCCATTTAACAGTTTGTTAAAATAAATTACAAACATTTCTGAATAAATGATGGAAATACTTGTACTTTTATGGTTACGATACACGTCACGTATTTTTAATTGTGTTAAATGTTTTACGAGTAATTTCAATCTGAGCAATAATTTTTTCGATTTTCCTTGTGTTATTTATCGTTATTTTAATTACACTCTGATAGGTAATAATATATATTTTCTCTTTGTGATACGTTGATTCTTTTCAATGAAGTCGGTATTGCACGTCAGTTATTTAAACATACTCAAAAACGAAGTTCATACAACTGAATTCATCTGACTGTACAACTGAATTCATCCTTCATACGAAACGGGGAGAAACTTGGATTGCGTTTTTTTTGCTATTGAGATTTAGACAATAGGTAGACCTGATGAAGGCTTCCTCTACGGGCGCTTAGCAATCAGTTCTATGTTCATTTCGTATTTAACATCAAGTTTTCGATCGAGTTTTCCTTCAATCTGAGCACAGATTTTGAAATCTGATATTTGGAATTTGAGTGCAATGTCTGTTTCTTTCACGTACCGTAGACAAGGCTTTTAGATAAAACAAAGAAGTTTTTAATAACATTAAACCTTTTTTTTAAACAAATTCTTATCCTCGACAAACGTGGTAGTACATACTTTGTGTTCAATGTTTCTTTGGAAGTTTCAAAAATATGAATGAACCGACTCTTTCCAACGATATTGAACTCTTCAACGAAGATATAGTGTTTCAGAAGCGGAGAAAGATTTTTTCAGGCAAGTTTTATTGTAGTTTTTATAATAATTTTCGAAAATGATCGATGTAACATGTATTACGCATCTTTTAATTCACATGAGACGCTTCTCTTATGCCAACAACCCAGTGGTACAAACATTCGATAATTTTTTTTATTTCTTACATTATTTTGCAGCATCCGGTGCCTGAACTGTTCCAAGATTTAACGTTTTATGAAGTGACCCAGAAAAATTATTACAAACCGCTTTAAAACCCTAGACCAACTATTTGCTTGAAATAATGGCTTATGTTGAGAATTTGCTAAGTTTGTTTGGACCAGTCTGGGAGATTAACTGTGAAGGGTATCGAGAGTGGAGCACGAGTTAGTAAAATCGACGACTCCTACAGAAGGTAGCGAGAGCGTAGCGTAGAATCCAATACTCCTACAGAACGTGTGGCATAAAACATATTTTATTTAAAAACTTCTACTACAATTTCAAAAACACTATGTAATACGTATTATCTCTTTAATAAAGTAATTTATTATGAGTACTGGTGTTCTTTTTTCGAACAAGAGAAATGGCAAGTGGAATGCATTACTAGCCGATTGTTCACGTGCCCGGAAATTTCAATGCAAATGCCCTGTTTCGTACCGGTTTCGTTCTCGAAGAGGCAGAAGTTGTGGCATGTTTTACGACGACTTCATGTCGCATCTTACATTTTAAAAAGCTATTTTTTTGTGACTGGGAAAATAAATAAATGTTCCAGATATAAATTTCAATATTGTGTTGGTGATTTACGAGTCAAATCACACGAAATCAAAGTGATTTTTAGGGCGCTTTTTAAAAATTTGGCCACATAGCGAACAGTGTGATTGTTCTGTAGGGGAACTGGAGGAAAACACATAAAGACAACACGAACACACACAAACATCCATCCAATCCGAGGGGGGATTCGAACACGCGACCCTTCGAGTAGAGTTGAGGCAGCTACGGCCCTTCGGCCTTAGCGACCTCTGCTATATAGACTGGTAAAATTTATATATTTAACTTCGCTTTTTAACTGCTTGGTCATATCAACTAGTGATACGACATCGATAACAAAACCTCGACGTTCAAAATTAAAACCTCGAATAAAATCCATTGATGAATCAACATCGATGTTCATATTCTGATTGGGTAACATTAAATTCGTGTGCAATAAATTTTAATTTGAGTGCGTGTTTATCAATGCACCGAATAAGGATACGAAAAAAAGGTACCCTTAACCATATCTCAGTGAACGAAATGAATATGAAGAAAGAGGAAATACAAAGCCATGGAGGTCATCTTGGACGAGAGAGTTTGGTCGATGAAGCCAGTAAAAACATAGTTCCAACAAATGAATAACAGTATTCCAATTAACTATTAAATATTTTAACTTTTACAGTATTGTGATCATGGGATTTTTTTCATTCAGAAACAAAACAACGGCAAAGAAAAAACATCGACCACAAAACATCGATGTTAAAAACATCGGTGTTAATACATTGATGTTTCTACAAAAATATTGATGGTTTCAAAACATCGACATCGATTTCGTATCCCTAAAATCAACCACTGTGATTATCAACATTGGTGTAACTGCTAGGGGATACAAAAGGCAACATGAACACACACAAACATCCATGCCCGAGGGGGTCCCAACCCGCTACCCTTCGAGCAGAGGTAGCCACGTTCCTTCAGCCTTTGTGACCTCTGCTATTCAGGCCGGCAACATCACAGTCTGTAGTAGGAAGATTGGCAGCAAAATCACAGTCTGTGGTAGTGCGATAACAAAAAGCACAAAGCGTGTAGGAAGATAGCGTCTCTCCACCGTGTGTGAAATGGAGGCGTAGGGAGCTGCGCGCGCGGGGGTGCGGAAGGGAGGGGCACTCACGTGGTCTTCTTGATGACGTATTTGCCCGGCTCGCGGTGGCGCTCGCAGGAGAGCTCGGTGCAGGGCTCCTTGATGCGGTGCCACTTGGCGCCCACGGCGTAGCCCTCGTTGCGCTTCGCGTCGTAGCACTTGCCCGGGTGGCCTGCGCGGACACGCTCGTTAACGCGTTGCGTCAGGGATAGTCACAAGACACTAGATGATCATTGTACAGGAGAGCACTCTTGTCTAGGATGTTTTTTAAACATTGAGACAGGCAGAATTAAGCATATGAAATTAAATATCTGTGTTATACCAAGGATAATATTAATTGGCATAAATGATTTGAGATGTGGTTTGTGACTTCCTCTTCGGCAATAATAAAAGTATGACTTATTTCACTGTTTAAAACGCTTAGTTTTGTACATGACACATTCCTGAATTAAGTATTAATATTCTAAACGAACAAGTCTCGAAATACTGTAATGAAACTTGTAAATAATGTAAATGTTTACATATGTTTGACCTAATCACCCTGTTACTGTATTTCTGTAACAAATGAGTCCGTCAGAATGATAGTGAACTAGCTGCAATCTGAGATAAGAGCAAGAGAGACCTAATTGCCATTTATCATCATTTCAGTCATGCCTTTCTAGCTCTCACAGCGGATTTCAGTTTACCCATTGTTGCTCTCGCGGTCTCAAATAATGTTTACAATTACAATTTCTGGATCAATGACAATGTCTGTTAAGTTTCCGTCCATTCTCTCTTCACCTATGTATCAGATTCTAATGCCTTCCTTATGGGCAATTATATGCAGCTTTTATATCTCTTATAAATTTCAAGTTACTACAGTGACTAACTTTAAGTTTGCAAAATCTTTACATATGATCCAGATGTGACCATAACTGTTACTGTGTCATTACAACCAATGAGGTTTTGACAAGACAAACTCATTATTCCACTACGATGAGAAGGAGGAGGGAACTCACGCGAGTCCTCGTTGACGACCTCTTCGGTGACTGCTGCCAGTGCTGCGGTGGCCAGCACTAGCACCAACGCCACACTCAGAAGGTTGCGGTTCATCCTGTGGAAAGGAGCATGTCATCAACTCGCCCTCAACACTCTCAAGGGTAGAAAGACCCGCGGGGGCGGGGGGAGAAGTGGGGTGCTACTTAGACCTCCGGTGGTCGGTTTGGAGTCGCGCGAATAGCAAAATAGAACCCCGGATTTTTTGTTTCGAAAGCCGATGAGAATTGGCAAAACCTGTGCGTTCATCGCTCTTCCCCACTCTTTAGAAACTCTTCTGTTATTTTCCAAACATTTCATAGCTAATTGTCTTTCTTTAACATTTAGAAATATGTTTTACACACGTTCCAAGGAGCTCTTTTAATTTTTCTTCACGACGCAACTCCTGAAACGGTTTCCTAGTATAATATTTGTCCTCTATGTTTAGATTCTTTATTTTATAAGAATAAAAGTCAAAATTGGTTATTAAAATTACAATGTTCTGACATTAATAAGAATTCAAGTGCACTACAAGAACAAAAATGCAATTTACTCTCCTAAAAAAGCGCAACGGAAATAATAATGGGAAGCTTAATAGTGCTCCAATTGTGAAGAGTAATGTAGTAATATTAATAAAATGGTTGACACTGGACAGACAAAGTTTGATATTACGTCCAAGGCGATTTGACTTTGAAATTAGTGTTCATTGTAGCACTATGGATTGCATATGCAGGCGACCAAAAAAATGTTTGTGTGCTCATCTAAATCTTATTATTTCAAGACTGCTGATTTCAAAAAGAACATTAAAATGCCTTAACATCCACCACTTGTTCATGTTTTAACATTTTATCTGTATATCTAGGCATAAGCTCTGTTTCTCTAGAAACGTATAAGATGTAGAAAGTTAGAATGAGAAAGTATTAGGACAGAGAAGGTAGTATTCGCTTTGATTTGATTTGATTTATTTAGTAAAAAAAATAAAAAAATCTGTATGTGACGTATGGAGGTGAAGATCTGCACACTTTTGAGTTCTAGAATCCCCTCCCATCATTTTAACTATAAATCGTTGAAAGATGAGTAAAAGTTTAAAATAAATAAATAAAACTTAATTAAAAAAGCGCGAGATTAGTGAAATATTTCTACATTGAGATCCCTTCCATTACGGCGCATCAATAGGCTCGGCAGTTTCAGTCAGTTGCATTTGACAATCAGTACTAGAAAATATACGTCAATGGACACGTAAATTTGTAGAATGTAATATTAAGAATCTAAAGACATCTGATGTGCTTAAATAAAGTTAGGTTGGCATTTTAAAAGTAGTTTACTTTTAATTTACATTGCTTATTTATCATATTTTCGCATATCTCACTAGATCAAATTATTACTTTATTGTGGGTAATGGAACGAACAGCTCAGATGCGGATTCAGTATACCAAAAAGACTATAAAAGTGAGCTATCAAGATTTAAAAGTTTTTTGAAACCGTTTATTTGTTGGCCCGTGTTATTAATTATTACCAAATAAAATCCGATTTTTTCCATGCGTCACAAGCAAGACGTTGAAGGTGAGAGAATAATATACATTACGTTTGAGCAGGTATGCTTTTTACTCTTCATTAATCGGGGACCTACTTTACATGAAGCGCCTGGGATGTTTTCAAAATAATAGCTCCATCGTTTTCTAGTCTTTATTTTTTTTTTTTTTTTTTTAAGTGAAGGACGTTTAAGAAAATAGTGTGGATCTCATGGTCGTTAAATCGACTTTTCGAAAATTACAAATTTTCAAACTTTTTTCGGAGTCTTCCTACAACTAAATTATTAAAAATAGATATTTATTTCTTAATAAAATCTGTTGCGTAAAGATAGATTTTGAATAAGGTCAAAAACAAGTTTTCCAAAATTTGAGTGCTTTTTGTGTAATTGGGCCTAAAAATACGAGCGAGAAAGTAAATGCTGTTTTAATACCACTAGTTCTTAGTCACAGACGATTTGTAAAACAAATTGTGCCAGAAAAATACATTAAAACATACTGACCATAAAGCGTATTGTCCAATATTGTCAGCTCCTATTTGAATAGTTTTTTAATTTTTTGCATTTACACAAACTATCGATTTGTTTCAGTGCGAACTCTTAACTCTTTCATCCACGTTGACACATTCCTCCATCTGCGGGTAGTCTGCAGAGCGCGGAGGCCTCAGTGTGTATGCAAACGAACCATTGGTTCTTCTCCCATCTTCAAAGGCTTGCAAATTGGTGAAAACAATTCATTTCCTCTTGAATTTATTAATAATCCGTAGAATTCCACCATTAACACTAATCTCAAATACCGTGTGGCCCACCTACGATGTTCCCTTCATTTTTCTCCTGAACCGTTCCAGATACTAACATGCGGTTTTCACTAAACCTACAATATGCCAGAGGCACATATGGTCATGCATAATATTATTCTATTGGATTTTTTATTGCAGAGATATTGTCCCAACTTCGATTTTTTAAATGGAAGCCTATAGATTTTTTAGCTCATCATAACAAGCGTGAAGAGACGAGTTCATAAATATGCATAACGCCATATGTTACATAACAAAATTTTCGAGAAATTAGGAGTTTTTAAGACGCACGCCGACTGCTGTTTTCCGTGATCCGAACAAGAAATTCCGGGTGATATGCGGCGAGGCCATTCCCTTCCGTTGTGTCGACCCGGCGGTAAATGTTGTGATGAAATGTGCAAAGGAGCTCATGTAAACCCGAGATTTGCTCTTTAAGACTACACCCTCTCGTCCTGGAGACAATGTATTCACCCATAGCCATGTTCTCAACAAATCTGCACGCCACAAGGGAATATTTTTTAATTAATTAAATACTACAAGATTTGAGAATTATTAACCGTAGAGAAAGCAAGGGATGATTGGAGAGTGAACATGTTCTGTATTAATAATACTATTTCTGTATTCCCTTTTATCTGTTGTTGGAAGCATAAATCTGTTTCAAATACCTGTTAAAAAACTCTTTAAGCATACGCGGTGAGAAGGTATGTACGATGTTTGGACGTTTCACAAAACACGATACAATGTGCATGAGCGTTCAATACTATTACTAAAAGTGTTAAATGAAGGCTCCAAGTGAATTTCATATATTGCATACTGATCTAGTAATCCACTACCACAATTATCGTACTGTCATCACGCAACAGTTAAAGAAATTTGTTCTCTGAAAAGTATGTTGTATGCCCGCGACAAAGTTACATGGAAGGGCATCTGCTTTACAGTGGAGCAGAACGCAATATATTACTTTCTATTGTATGTGCTATCTGTTGAAATGTAATGTTTTTTGACAAAATATACTCTTAGTCAATTCCAGAAAAGATACTACACTACGGTACACAGTAATAGCATTGCTGCTGATATTTTATGGCTACAAAAAATTTAACTTTTTTCGAGACTAGACTAGATTGAGTCAACGGTGGACGTTTGTGAGTACTGTGATTCTTTGCACGCTGATGAACAAAAGGACATTAAGGAATGGTGGCAGAAATTAATAATTGTATACTTCACCCTTTCCACCTTTCCAATGTACTATAGTATATGCCAAGTACATGTCCAATCCAGACGGCCAAAATATTACGAGTATTAAACCGCACACCAATGAAAGATCTTCGAAACGATAAAACAAGAAACGGAAACGACAGGTTTGAGAGTCCAAACGGAGCATCTCTCGAAGATGATTGTCGGAGTAATCGGCGGTGAGCCCCGCGCCGCAGGCTGGACCCGGATGTGTCGCGCCGTGCGCCCGCACGCGCCTCCGCCCCTGCCCAAATTGCGCGCGTGATGTCACGCCGTTGATTGTCGCCTCCACCGCCAATTGAGAGGCTGCCTGCGATTGCTAAATTGCCGCAACGCGGTCACACCGCCCGGCCCTCGCCAGGGCGCCCGCGGAGTAGGCCGTTTTGAGGAGACCATCTTTCGCTAACTAATGCGAATTTTATGGCAGTCGACAGCGGACCTTGCTCAACCAGGCGGGGCCGGATACCACGTCACTTTCAGGGGCGGCAGATCCACGAGCTAAATCTGCTTGTTAAATTTAATCTTAGCTATTTATCCAGATGCGCAGCTTGTCAACGGACGCAGACTGGCAGTCGCAATTTGAGGCCTTCCTCTAGTTATACAGTTCGCTGACGAATCATTCACGTCATTGATATAAACTGTGAATAAATTTATAACTCAACAGCTGACCACAATAGTTAATTAGTCTGAAATGATACTATTCGAAGGCTGAGAACGACATTTCTTTCTATGATCGTTGAGGAAGATCCATCATTAACAGTTTAGTTCATGGAATCTGAACGATTTATTGACGCATGCGACCTGCACTCTGCCTGCACCCTGCACCCTGGTTCGCACTCGTTAATATTAATCAACCTTTGGTGTGAAAAGCCCCGATGTTGTAGATTGTGGGTCGTGACTGAAAAACAAACTTAGCACTTTCAAAGTTAGTATAAAATGGGTCGGAATTCGAAATGAAATATAAAGAAAAAACGCAGTGAGCAGTCCATTCATGTCAAAGAACGGTGCAGGGAGGAACAGCTCAGAAGCTCATCATGAACATCTGGTAATAATAGTATTTATTATTATTATTATTATTATTATTATTATTATTATTATTATTATTATTATTATCATTATTATGCAGGACAATTTCTAAACTCTTCTTTATAAGTGTCCGGTTTATGGTAACTTATAAAGCTTAATATACAATTTAGATTAACAATCCTCATCCATGGCGTCCTCATGCACAAGAAATAGTCATCACTATAGTACAAACATGTCAAACAAGATCTTCAAACCGCACATATTTGCCAGAAAACTTTTGATTAAATCTGAACTGAAAGATTCATAACATAAGTTAGCAAGCTTTAAGACAGAAGAACGGAAGAGTAAAATTCGACAAAACCACCGGCTTAAGCGACTCAGGACATCAATTGATGTCACTACGGAGCCTTTGACCGGGAAGTCCTAAGGTTCGAGTCCTGACGATGGCAGGATTTTCGACACTAGCTATATAGATAGGTCGAATTCAGCTGCTAC